CCGACCCACCCCCTCCCCCCGCAGGTAAGAGCAGCGTCAGCGTCAGCAAGCAACGGTCAGCGGCAGCCCCACCACCCCCACCTCCACCTCACACACTCACTGGCCCCTTGCGCGATGGCACGCCGGCATGTTGGCATGGGAACGCCAAGCCCGGCACGGTAGCGGCGGCTGACTGAGTAATGGCACAGCCGACCGCCGCGGCAGGCCACTTTGCACTCCTGCCTGCAATGCATGCACCCTTACATGTGCAGCCTTCTGGTATTTTCATGTGCCTGGGAGATGTGCGGGCATGGGGGCCCATGTGCCCCATGCCATTTGAGTGCCCGGCGGCGGCGCTGCCTGCCGCCGGGAGCCCGCACCAGCATCGGCACCCGTCGGCCTGGCAGGCCTAAGCTGCTAAGGATCCCCACGTCCCCCACCACGTTGTGGGGGTTGCGTGTCCGGCAGGACGGGGAGCGGGGCCAGGGTGGGGTGACCCTGGGACGCTCAGCTGGGGGGAGGGTGGTCGGAGCCATGGAGAGGGTGCTCCATGGTCCACCCCCTCTCTTGATGCCCCTTGATCACGTGTGCCCCCTGCCCAAGGTCTGCTCACGCGGCCTATCATAGCGGGGTGACTGTAACACAGGTAACTGGCCCGCACTCCCATGAGCTGTAGGAGCCTACAATTGGTGGCAAATCAAACAACGACAGTTGCAGCAGTTTCAGGCAGCGCCAGGAAACTCTTCGAGACTGAGCTAAATCTGGCCAGCGCTAGCGGTACAGCACTGCTCTGCTCGGCGGGCGACTCGTCTCGGCAGCTTGCAGTGGCACCTTCATTATTGAGTCGCAGGTGTGCCATGAGCTGTGCCGTGCATGGTGCCAGTGAGGAAACCATGAATTGAAACAGCCATCAATGTACCTGAGAATGCCACAGCCGTGTCGTCGCTAACGAAAATTTCGCTGAACGTTGAGTTGATATTCAGCCTGAGTGAGTAGAGCTCGCCGCTGTCATGATCCTCAGATTTGGAGTAGGCGGACAGAAAGGGTGGGACGCCAGGGTTGGCGAGGGTCTCCAGCGCACCTGTAGGAGCAAGATGAGGGGATGACCTCGTCAATAGATGGCTGATTACAGCGCTATTGCAGCACTCGAGAGGTAAAGGTAAAGGTAAAGGTGGGGAAGAGCCTCCACAGGCTTAACTTCCCGTTTTAACGTCTAGCTTTAGACCATTATTTGATCTGCCCGACGCGCCAAGTGCAGTACCCCCCACTAGTAGTGAATGGGTCCCGGGGAGGCCTGTGCCGAAACCTTAGCGATTCTATTAGGCGTTCCCGAAGGAATTGGCTTAGATTGGCGCTGAGCCGGTCAGCTATGCCGAGAGCAGAATCAGCGAGACTATGCATGCGCCTGGGCATTGGCAAGGCGGCAGGCGGCATCACCAACCGTGGGCAGAGAGCGCAAGAGTAGCCAGCACGGCTAGGGCCAGGAGTGCGCGTGGAGGCGCCATCTGCGAGACGGCACGCAAGCAGGCGAGGGCGTGGGGGATAGCCAAAATGGCCAGCAGCAGCAGCAAACCTCACTCTCTCACTCTAAGCCGTGGGGGGCGCGCACCTCTGAACTCGTCGGGCAGACCGAGGTGGGGTGGGGGTGGGTTGGGGAAAATTCTGGGATTGCGAGTGGGGATTGGAGGCGTTCGCGAAATTTATGCAAGGGACGTGTGCGGCGCGTGGTGGAGGCACGCCCTTGCTGGTACGCTATTTCCCCTCTTTATCGACTACTGCAATTGGTGCAGCGGCATCAAAACCTGCTAGAACAGGCAGCTCCGCCTCAGAGTGCAGGCTGGTCGAGTACACGAAGCCCTGATAATCAACACCGCTGCTCTCCTACACAGAACTGGCTGGCTGACGCAGCTCCGAGCTGACTTCGTTGGGGCTGATTCGTGTGCGATGAAACGGGGACTGCAAGTCCACTCTCGTGGGGATGCTCTGTTCTGGGGATAGCACATTTTCGCCAAGCATATATGTGCATGCATGCTGCTGCAGACCATCGGCGCGGCCTCGATCATTCCATTCCATTCCATTCCATTCCATTCCATTCCATTCCATTCCACTGGAGCTAGTGTCTAAACCCTCCGAGAGGGCACAGGTTCGATTCCTCCCATGTCGAAACTTTGTGAGGACAAACGCGGCATAGCTGACCGGCTCAGCGCCAATCCAAGCCAATTCCTTCGGGAACGCCTATTAGAATCGCCAAGGCTTCGGCACAGGCCTCCCCGGGACCCATTCACTACTAGTGGGGGGTACTGCACTTGGCGCGTCGGGCAGATCAAATAATGGTCTAAAGCTAGACGTTAAAACCGGGAAGTTAAGCCTGTGGAGGCTCTTCCCCACCTTTACCTTTACCTTTACCTTTACCTTTACCATTCGATCATACATTGAAATAATGCAGTGCTTGGTCGTCCTGCTGTTTGTGCTCGGCTTCGCGATCGCCCCCACTGGCAGCACTGCCACCCCTGCGCAATCCCGCAGTCTCGCCCAGGTGACGAATGGTAGACTGCAGCAGGGAGGGGGCGCGCAATCGGGCTGCCTGTCAGTGTAGTGGCTTATCCCATGCTGGAGGCGCAGCACATTGCATCTTCCTGACACGAGCGATTCTCCTTTGTCACGCAGGCAGGAGGTGTTGCTACCGTGCGCTGGTGCATGCCTACGCCGTTGCATGCCGTGGTTGCCTCCGAAGCGGACGCCCTCCAAAGGTGCAACACCGCTGTGGCGCTGGCCGACACCGCCGCCATCAAGTTCTCATGCGTCGCTGGTGCCTCTTCCTGCAAACAGCACGTTGCCGACGGGGATGCCGAGCTGACATCCCAGGGTGGTGCGTGTTGAGGATTCCTCATCTCATACACACCCAGCCAAGCTCAATGCACCAGCTGCATCTCTTAGCAGCGAGACGCGCCTCCTTTCAGCCTCGCCGACACAGCAACCCTCCACCCCTCCCTTGTGCAGGCGCTAGCATGCTGGATGCTTTTGAGACCTACCAGCTCGAACCGCTGATCTCTGGTGAGGTCGCCCAGCATTGTTTCTAGTAACGGCGCCAGCGCATGCTGGGGCAGTCTGGAGCAATGTGCCATCGTGTGTCCTTTAGCCATCCTTCGCATATAGCCACCATGTGTTCCATGTGTTCCCGTCACTCCGCTATGATAGGCCAAGTGAGCAGACCTTGGGCAGGGAGCAGCACACTCTCTGAGCCTCTTCAGTGCTGCTGAACCGCATTTTGCAGAGGACTATAAAATGGAGGGCGTTGAGGATGCTGCCTACTACTCTGTGGCAGTGGTCAAGAAAAGCTTCTGCACCGCCGATACCACCCTGCGAGACCTCAAGGTCAGTACTGAGGCGAGGCAGCTTCCCCCCACCTCGCCATTGGAGTGCTGCACACTGCAGCAGTGAATTCAGTCCCAGAACAACACAATGCAGCGGTCTCGTATTGAGCACTCCCCGCCTACCGGCAGGGCTTGCGCGCTTGCCACTCCGGCTACGACATGACCGGTGGCTGGACCTTGCCCGTTGGCTTCTTGGCTCCAGGGGGTGTGGTAAGTGCTCCATCTGTATGCTGCGATGTGGCTCGTGAGACTGGTTGAAATGGCATGCATGTATCTATTGCACTTGCTTCAATTGAGTGAGCCAGCTGTACCTGCAGCCACTCCTGATCTTCCGCTCTGCTGCCCTTCCCACCTCTTACTCACCCCCCGCAGATCCCCAGGGTCGCGACCAAGGCCGACGTCCCTGCTGACGCGCAGTCTGTCGCCGCGTTCTTCAGCGGTGGGCTGTGCGCCCCTGGGAAATCGGGACCCACATGGGAGGGCCTGTGCTCTGCCTGCGCGGTGCGCCACGCCACTGCATGTCGCGGGAGTTTTGCCTCCTATTGCTTCGTCATGCTAGTTGCACCCTATGACTGCTGAGAGCTCTTCCTGTGAAACCTCATGCTTCCTGGGTGATGAGCGCAGGCAGGTGCATGTGATCCCACCAACGCCTATGCCGACTACAATGGCACCCTGCACGGATTGATGGCAGGCGCATGTGGGTCACTGCTCTGCTACACACTGTTGCCTCCGTCAAGAACTGCACATTGATGTTGGCTTTGTCTCTCAAGACATATTTGCCCGCGTTGTCCATGTTGCAAATTGGTGTCACCCGCTGCTCGCCACCGCTTCGAAGGAATTCCTGCCAATGCCTCGTCCTGCCTTTGACCACTATTCAGGCGACGTTGCCTTTACCAAGCACTCAACAATCATGGAGGTTGCTGCCGACGGCACTGCCCCCCAGGCTTGGTCCGCCTTCGACATGGCTGACATGGCGATTGTCTGCCCCAGCGGCGGCTGCAAAGAAGTCAGCGAGTTCTTGTCGTGCCACATTGCCAGGTCACCTGCCTTTTCTGTCATGACGACCGCAGCCCTGCGCAACAGCGCCGAGGGGCAGGCCATCCAGGCTGCCTTGATGGACGCTGGCAGCGTCCCCGCTTACCTCAACGCTACCATCGGCCTTGTGGGCAACTTTGCGTTCTCCGAAGACACCAAGGGCATCAAGGTGGTGGCTGCCGCCGCTGCTGCTGCCTGCTGTGTTGTTGGGCCGGACCCGCGCTGTACAGCCCCCGTATGCGCCTGCTGCTGCTGCCCCTATGGACAGCCCCTGCCAATCATCGTGTGGTATACATCCTCAACTCAACTCGTCTTACCAGTGCCCTCAGCTGGCCTCCAGCCGCCTCACAAACCTCCTCTGGACCCTCCTCTGCAGGCAGTAAGCATCCCTTTCCTGTAGTACTATGGAGCCAGCACTAAGCAGGCATTTGAAGGCATTGCGTACCTAAAAGCGGAGACTGCCACCCCCGCCACTCCTGCCACCACCCCTGCCACCCCCGCCGCCCCTGCTGCCAGCCCCGCCTCCCCTGTCATACCTGCTGCCCCTGCCACAGCACCTGCCGCCACTTCAGGCTCTGGCAGCAGCGGTGTCAGCTCTGGTGCCGCGGCAGGCATCGGCGTTGCCTGCACCGTGGCTGGCATCCTGATTGGCATCCTGTTTGGTATTGTTGCATTGAAGCAACTGGCCAAGAGGAAGGGAAAGTACGAGCGGTACGCTGACGCCGCAGCCATCAGCGTTTGAAATGGCGCTGGGTCGGAGTGGAGCGACACTGGCAGACGGTGAATGAAGTGACCAAAGGTTCACTTTTAATCCACCCTCATCCTATACACACAACACCATGTGACGCGAAGCACACTTGAAGTGATGGGTGACCGCGTGCTGGGGCTGGCTGATTGAGAACGTGTGGCCTGCTAGTGTGGGCTTCCATTCTGGTTTCAGCAAGAACCAGTTTGCAGCACAGACTTTGTTCTTCGGGCATAGCAATCTGAAAAGAAGGGTTGAAGCAGTAGAACAACAAACAGGTCGCGAAAGTTAAGGCGCAGCGAGGCAAAAAGGGGGCAGGTGAGAAGATGTGGAGGCATCTTCATTGTGTCATTGTGGTTGTGGCAGTGGGGGCACACTCGCTGCACTCGGGGGTGCCGCGCCCAGCGCGTTCATTCATTCATTCATTCATTCATTCATTCAGCACACAGCCCGGCCGCCTCTTGCTCGAGGGCGGCCCACTTTGGCCTGGGCCGCCCGGGCCGCCCTCCCCCCCGGGCGCATGTTCGGTGTTGGAGGGGTGTGCCCAGCGATAGGGGGCCCCTGAAGGCATGCGCCGAGGCCGGGAAGCGTGGTTCGGCGCTGCTGCACGCTTGGCGATTTGACCAGAACCACGTGCCGCCGAGCTGCGGCCGCAGTTTCCGGCCCACGGTCTACGGTCGCAGCCACGGGACTCGGCGGCACGGCGTTTGGGCCCAAGCTTGCTGCCGCCGCCGCCGTGCCCGGGGGGCAGCGCGGCGGCGGCGGCACGCTGCGACGCCCCCGTGCTGCCGAGCTGCGGCCGTAGTTTCCTGCCAGAAGCCCACGGCCACAGCCACGGGACTCGGCGGCACGGAGTTTCGGTCCACGGCTTGCTGCCGCCGCCGTCGCAGGGGTGCTGCCTGCGGCGGCGGCGGCACGGCGTTTGGGTCCACGGCTTGCTGCCGCTGCCGCCGCCGCAGGGGTGCTGCCTGCGGCGGCGCGGTAGCGCACGTGGCAACCCCCCGCGTTTCCTTGCCTCCCATCCACCGGACCCCGTCCTGCGCTTCACTTTGTTTAGGAGGGGCT